CCCCTTCACACTCGTTTCATTATTATTATTTATCGTGACTATTAGTATTATTGTTTTCGAAAGAGTTACGCGCCCCGTCTCGTAATGAAGAGGCGAAGTTTTGTTGAAATAATTAATTTACTCTCTCTCTCCCCCTTCACACTCGTTTCATTATTATTATTTATCGTGACTATTATTATTATTGTTTTCGAAACAGTTACGCGCCCCGTCTCGTAATGAAGAGGCGAAGTTTTGTTGAAATAATTAATTTACTCTCTCTCTCTCCCTTCACACTCGTTTCATTATTATTATTTATCGTGACTATTATTATTATTATTATTATTGTTTTCGAAACAGTTACGCGCCCCGTCTCGTAATGAAGAGGCGAAGTTTTGTTGAAATAATTAATTTACTCTCTCTCTCTCCCTTCACACTCGTTTCATTATTATTATTTATCGTGACTATTATTATTATTATTATTATTATTATTATTATTGTTTTCGAAACAGTTACGCGCCCCGTCTCGTAATGAAGAGGCGAAGTTTTGTTGAAATAATTAATTTACTCTCTCTCTCTCCCTTCACACTCGTTTCATTATTATTATTTATCGTGACTATTAGTATTATTGTTTTCGAAAGAGTTACGCGCCCCGTCTCGTAATGAAGAGGCGAAGTTTTGTTGAAATAATTAATTTACTCTCTCTCTCCCCCTTCACACTCGTTTCATTATTATTATTTATCGTGACTATTATTATTATTGTTTTCGAAACAGTTACGCGCCCCGTCTCGTAATGAAGAGGCGAAGTTTTGTTGAAATAATTAATTTACTCTCTCTCTCTCCCTTCACACTCGTTTCATTATTATTATTTATCGTGACTATTATTATTATTATTATTATTGTTTTCGAAACAGTTACGCGCCCCGTCTCGTAATGAAGAGGCGAAGTTTTGTTGAAATAATTAATTTACTCTCTCTCTCTCCCTTCACATTCGTTTCATTATTATTATTATTTATCATTATTATATTTTTGGTAATAGTAATCGAATTACAGAATTATTATGAACAATCCATTCGTTCGTCCGCTCAGTCAACTTCGTGCCACAATGCCTCGAAATAACGACGTCGGGAATGAAAATACTGTAAATGAAGCGCAGGATAAAAGTTTTACCTTCTGTCTTTCATTTGTTTATTATTTCGTTCACCACCCCTTTTTTATGGCGAACTTCTCCGGACGAACGGAGGGGCATTTTGGCGAACTAAACTCTGTTTGGCGTCGTGATTATCAATATTTTAATTTGAGTTTCACTTTCTTTCCCTTATGATAATACCATTTTATTATTTGCTTAACGTGAGAAGTGACGGAAAGCGGTGGCTCTGCTCCAAGAGGAAAATTTGTGTCACTACTGTTCCCTGACGGTGAAGTTAGCGGGGAATTTTATAGTTTTTTCCCTTTTAGGAGTTGCCCACCCTGCCGGACAACAGGCGGCAAGGGAATCTTCCCCTAAAAGTCGTTCCGTAGTCCCCGGGGGCGCGAAATGCTGTGTGAGGCGTTTTTTGAGCAAAGGTGTTTCGGTTAGCCAGCGGTCTTTCTCTTTTTTTTTTGGGCGCTGTTCCTCTTTTTGTTTCCGCGTGGCGCGCTCTCTCGGTGCGCCGCCGCGTGGGCTTGCGGGGTTTCGTGTTGTCGGGTTCGGCGGCTTGCGGTGGGGGCGCCGGGGGCGGGGGTTTCCCGCCGCGCCACGGGGGCGCGCCCCCTGCTCGTCCGCTCGCCGAATGCGCGCCGGGCGCTCGCGGGGCGTTCCAGCCGCCGGCGGTGCTTTTTGTTGGCCGGCTGTCGGCGCCCGGTTTTGTTCGCGACAGTGCGGGTCGCATAATCGGCGCGGGCTAAGGGGTTCCCCCTTTCCGCGCGCGTGGCGTGCGGGCGGTATTTTTGACCCTCGATTCCCCTTTTAATGGGCTGCGGGAAAGCTTGTTCTCCCCCCGCCAGGAATCCAGTACCTCGATTTCTCCCTCCCTCTCCCCATTAAGAATAGCTCGATATGGCGGACTTGCTTTCCCTCCAGCAAATAGCCGAACTCAAAGCGGCGTTTTCTGTTTTTGACAAAGACAGCGACGGGAGCGTCACCGTAGAAGACATTAATCAAATATTCCTTTCTATCGGCCAGAGGGTTTCGCCGGCCAAACTATACAGTATGCTGAAAGAAGCGGATCTCGACTCGAACGGTTCCATCGATTTTCCTGAGTTTTTAACGTTGGTGGCAGCAAAGCTAAACGACCCAGACGAAAAAGATACAGAGCTTAAGAGGGCGTTCCGGCTTTACGACTTGGGAAATACCGGGTTCATAACAGTTTCTAATCTCAAATATGTGATGGGAAAGTTGGGTTGCTCTTTGTCCACGGAGCAAGCCTTTGAAATGATTTGCGAAGCGGACACCGATGGCGATGGGAAGTTGAGTTTTGAAGAATTTAAACGTATAATGACCAACGATGCGATGTAAACCGTCTTCTCTGTTTCTCTTTCCCAAAAGCTGACGATTCCGATGTGCAATAATCTCAGCGAGGTACGCGAAAACTATTTTCCTCCGTTCTTTCTCGGGTGTCCCCTTTTCCCTTCTTCTCTCTGGTCGATGACGAAAGCAAAGGACGGGTCCGAGGATCAAAATGACCTGCTAGATAATTGTAAAAAACTTTCTGATTTCGTTTTGCGGCCTCCTCCAAATGGCGTTCCGTACCGCACCAGAGCGGACCTCGACACGGACGGGTGCTCTCCATGTCGCGCATTCCTCGTTGACCTTGTGCACGTGAGCGGGTTTCGCATAACTCGCCTCCCTTTTTCCTTCTGGTGGGTGACACCGTTGCCTGATATCTGGGTCGACGAAAGCAACTAGTTCAAGAATGTTTTTTTTTTTTTTTATTATTTTTTACGTGCTGGATAGAATGTATATTTCGCTACACAAAACTATAATTTGTTTCCGGGGAAAAAGAAGAAGGAATCTGCGCTTTCTGTTTCTCCTCTTCGGCTGATAAAACACGTCCCCCCCTCTTCCTTTCTGTTCCTTTAGGAACGAATTCTTTGCTGTGTGGGCGAACTCATTGGTGTGCTTTGTTTTCGCTTTGGCACGGACACTTCAACGTATTCTCTTCAACACTCTAGCATATACTGAAGGATGTCGCAGTCATGGGGCCAATCAAGCGCCACCACGAAGCATTCGCAAGTTTCTTTAGACATGTTTGAACAGTGGAAAAGGGAGCAACAAGAGGAAATATCTAACCGGGGAGCCGACAAAAACAGAGATAGCGAAGAGTTGTACAATCAGCACATGCTAAGGCAAAACCTGAACGCATACATTTGTCACAAAGAGTTAGACAAGTACACTACGTGTCTACAGGAGAAAAACCTGATAGTTGTCGATGGATCGAGCAATTACGAGATCAACACAAAAAACAAACTGAATGAAAAGTTGTGCAAGTCGACTCACTTTCCATACGTTCGTTGTATGAGTTCAAAAGAAAATCAAGAGTTACTATTACAGCACGCGGCACTGCACCCACTGTGCCAAACGAAGAAACTCAACGTCCTGTCTTGTATGGAGAAAAACGCCGATATCGAAACAAAAACGAATGTCCCGCAATGTGAGGAATCTTATCGCAGTCTCCTGAGATGCGGGCTGAATCACCTTTGGAACGAATACTGGAGGGCGCTAACAAAATTCACCGACAAGGAGGACTTTCAGCTGTACGAGCTGTCCCGAGACGAAAATAAAAAGCAAGGGTACCTTAGAATGGTGACAAGCTCAAAAGAGTAGTAGCGAGTAATCACACAACGTCTTTTTTTTTTTTTTTCCTACTGGCGCAGACATCAAATTGTTCTTGAATGATGAAAAGTGTATTCAACAAGTGAAGAGAGGTATTTTGACCACTTTGAACGCGCCGTTGTGATGCGGCTGTGTCGCAGTTCCATATTTCCTCTTCCTTTCTCCCTTTTTTCCCTGTTCACCTCCACGCCTTCAAAAAGAGCGAGGGAAGCGCAACAGACACTTGCTTCATTCAATTCAGTTCCGTGTTTATTTGTCCGCCGCGATCAAACGACTTAGTTTTAGGGTTCATTTTCCATGTTTACACACCATCCACTCACTTTCGAAACGCGATCTCCACGGCGTCCGCGTGTCCGAGGATCCCTGTTGCCCTTTTCGCCGCTGCGCTCTTGTGTGCGGGTCCTTTTTCCTTCCGCGCTGGGCCCCGCGGCGGTTCGCCAGCCACGCCGTCCCCCCACCGTGTGTAAGTGGTTGGCGGGTTGCGGGCGGGCTTGGCCCCGTTGCTGGAGGCGGCGCTGCCCAAGGTTGTCCTGAGTGAAACGGCCCTTCACCCACCCTGACAGTTGTCCCGCAACGGGTGCGGCGGCGATTTCGCCCCGACTCCGCTTGGTGTTTTGGATTTCCACCGAACCGATTTCCAATAACAAAGCGGATTGAAGCCGAAGACCGCTGTGGAGAAAAACACCCGGGGCGGACGAACGTCCGGATGTTTAACCGTCAACCCGGCAGGCATTGAAAGGAAAACGGTGTCGCTCCCAAGCGTGCTGTCGATGAACCGTGGCGCGCCCTTATCGGACTGGACGCCCGTTCTGGTTTCACGTCCGTTGGCGCCACACAGATTTGACATGCCGCCGGGATGGATTCATCCGCGCGGGGCGCCGTCGGACCTGATGAGGTGGGGCTGGCTCTCGTGCCGGCCGCGTTTTTTTCCGCCCGAAAAGGGATTGCTCGAAGTGAGGCCCGCTTGGCTTTCAGCCCATGATTCGTTTGGACGCCATACCCCGCTTTAGGCGGGAACGTGGAAAGGGAAAAAACTTGGAGAAGTTGGGTATCGATCCCAATACCTATCGCATGCTAAGCGATCGCTCTACCATCTGAGCTACATCCCCTGTGCCTCACTCCGCCTGGTATACGACGGTTGCTCCGATTTTTTAGGTCCCAGCTTTTAACGGATTTCTTGCACTGAACTGGGCTCTACATTTTAACTGGTACATATTCTCGGCTTTATAGCTAAGATCATGTTTTAAAACTGTTCTTATCAGAGTAACTCCTGATATGCCACTAGTTGGCAAACGAGTTAAAATGATCGACCTCAGTTGTTTTCCTGGAGTTCCACGTTTCCAGGAGAGCAACTCTTTTTTTATTTTTTTTTCTCTCTGCCTAGCGTAGTAAAGCTGTTTTTTAGTTTCCGACTGTCAAGGTGGAAAACCCCCGCACCATCGAGGGGATGTAGCTCAGATGGTAGAGCGATCGCTTAGCATGCGATAGGTATTGGGATCGATACCCAACTTCTCCAAGTTTTTTGAAATGCCCCCGCCCATAGGGGGTTTGCTGAGGGGCGTCCCTCTTGTTTGGAGGAGGAGGAGGAGGAGAGAGAGAGAAAGAGAGAGGGTTTGTTGAAATTTTTCCCATGCCGCCAAAAGGAGGGAAAAACGGCTGACCGGGGGGAAACCATTTTCGTATGTTTTTTTTGTTTCTCAACACGATGATTTTTTTTTTCTTTTTTTTTTATACATACATTCGTTACTTTTTTTTTTTTTTTCATTCTTGCGGGGTAAGGAATCAAAACCAACCAATGACCCGTTCACTTTACGATAGTTTATTCATTTCATTTTTATTTTATTTTATGGTTTGCAATAAGTGAGCTCGTTCAACACCGTTTGCCCGTCACTCACCAGGCTTCTTGATGTTCTCGAAGCTGTACGGCTTTCCGTGAATTCTCTGAAAGAGGTCCAAAATATTTTCCGCTGCGCTTTCAAAGTGTGTCGCGGCGTCGTAGCTCTTGCTCACGAAACACTTGCTGTTGGTGCCGTCGTCCAGCGGCTCGTAGAGGTCGGAGACGGAGGCGAAGGTCTCGAGGGTGGGGGCGATCAGCCGGAGTCCGGCTTGGATGTCCGCGACGGGGTTGCTGAGGTTCTCCACGACGGTGCCAATGATGGCAATGTACTTTCCCTCCGGGCACACCTTATTGTCCCCACAGAGCTGCAGAATGTAGAGGTCGTTCTTGCGCTTCAGCTCGCTCTGGGGGATAATGATCTGACACGAGTTGGAGGAGGGCTTGAGGGTGGCGATGGGGTGGTCTAGGATCGCAATGCAGCGAATCACCTTTCCCACCGGCTTCACGCGGTCGGGGAAGTAGGAGGGGTCGCCGACGACGAACTTGGCGGTGGCCTTCTTCCCGCCGCACTCGATGGACTCGAACTTCCCGTCTGCCCCGAAGTTCACCTTGTCTACCGGCGTCTGCAGCATGTAGGTGCCACCGTAGACGGCGCACAGCCGGGAGAAGGCCTGGGGGAGCTCACCGCTGCCGTAGAGGGGGTAGACATAAGGGGAGCTGCCGTACATGTTGAAGGAGTCCTCATACAGCTTGCAGCGCATCACCGTGTCGTAGGCGGGCTGGCGCAGATAGTCGTCGTTGGCCTGCAGCGCCATGCCGTGGCCGACGAAGGTGATGGTGTCGCTGCCGATGCCAAAGTCCTTGCACAGCTGCTCGAAGGTCATGGTGCGGAGGTTGTAGCTCTTGTGCGTCTTGGGGTCCTGGGGGTTGTATTTGGAGACAAACTCGAGGAACTTGGCCGCCTTTCGCTTTTCAAAAAAACCCATCAGCGGGGAGCTGAGCGCCTCCGTCTCGGTGACGGGGATCTTGTTGATCTTGCCGTCCTTCATCACGTAGGAGGCCTCCAGCAGCAGAAACTCCATGCTATACCGCTCCACGACCGTCGCCCGCAATATCTTCACCAACTCCCCAGCGCACATGAGCACTTTAGGGATGAGATCGACATTGTAGAGGTGACTCTTCCCCAGCGACTCCGGCGGGGTGCCCTTGTTAAACTTTTTGTACAGCTGCTCCAGGTTGAGCGAGGCGCTCTCGCCGCCGTAGTAGGGGTTGCGGTCCACGTGCAGCACCTTGTAGCCATGCGTGCTGAGCAGACCAGAGAGGACACACTCCACCAGTCCTGTCCCGCAGACAATCGCGTCGTACTGTTCGTCCATGGGCGCAAAATCAATAAATAATAATGATAATAATAATAATGAAAGGAATGCTAATAGGGTAAAAGGTAAAAGAAATGCTAGAGGGAGAGAGAGAGAAGGGACGGTGATGTTCACACACAGTCTTTTTTTGTTTGTTTACAGAGGTATCGAAAGAGGGATAATAATACTAATAATAAAGATAGGAGCTTCAACAATGAATATTTCTGTTCAGTGGGCATCGCCCTTTATTTATTTATTTTTTTTTTGGTTAATTTACAATTTCATCCAAACACACCTTCTGACTATTATTATTATTATTATTTCCGCCAATTCGGTGTAAAATAAGACTACGCAAAAAGTCCATACACCTCTTCCACTGGACACCATGATGATGATGATCGAGGTACTGATAAAACTTGAAATTTTGACGCAGTAGCTTGAAAGATTCCCCAAATGGGGCGGACGGCGGTACACGCGTGACAGTGGTCGTTGTGGTGGTTCCCTCCTTATACGGACTACGCTTATGACTGGCAGGCGGCGCCCTTCCTTCTTGCTGTTCATACTGTAGAAAAAGAGAATAAAAGGATTCGTAACGCTCCGCATCACCGGCGGAAAGCGTTGTTGGGCAAAACGTGTGAAACCGATGCGTCCGCAGCGACGACGACGGCGGGAGGACTTCCATTTCTGAAAACACCGCAAACATGTACTGTTTCTTTTCAGGCGGGCTGGTATAGCTGTTCGCCGCGCACCACGCCGAGGCCCCCCGGCCTAGCGTGATGACACTATCCGCCAAGAGGTGCGCCCCACCGAGGAAGGTGACCGCCTCTTGGATAGACAGCAGTAAGAGACCACCGCCCTGACCCCACCGCCTCACCACGGCCTCTGCCTCGGCGGCCGGACGGAGGAGCGTCAGGGGGGAAAAGTAGTGCTGCAGTCGGCGGAAGAACAAGTCATTTCTGGCCTGGTGGGCGTTCCCGCCTGGGAGGAGAAAGCAAATGCGCGGAAACAGTCGATGAGGATTATTTTTATTATTTGTGTTTTGCTGCATCCAAAGCGACACAAAATCTTCTACAATTTGTTTGGCGACGGCAAAAACAGGAAAAAACGCGCCAAAGTTATCATTCTGTACCGTCGAGTTGGTTTGATCGTCAAATACATTCCAAAGTGTTTTCAAATCGCAACGCTGACTGCCGTGGTTGGCGAGGATGGAAAAGTTGGAGTGGTCGCCGTACGTGCCTTGCAGCTGCTGCAGGGAGGCGTCGGAGAGCATCCCCAAGGCAATACGCTCCACCACCGTCCCGTCGATCTCATTATTATTATTATTTATAGTTTGTGGTTGTGTTTCCGTGAGAAGTATGGTTTTCAACAAGACGAGTTGAGGAAGACTCGCGGGGACAATTACTTTTCGGTCCTCAAAGATGAGGGAAGAAACTTTGATGTGCTCGTCATTGTTAATTTTTTTTTGAATATTGAACAATTGATAATGAAATAGAGTTTCACCATTTTCGGATAGATTCGCGGTCGTTTCGAGCTTTCGCCGTTTAGAAGGCGTTTTCTCCATTTCTTTTATTTGCTGTTGTAGCAGTTCTATTTTTTCACTTTTACCCTCGTTCGTTTCAAAACTTTCCACCAATACATAAAAATCCACTTTTACGGAGGCGTATTGGCTCAAACCCGTCACGTACGAAAAATCGTCCAATAGTGTGATATAATAATTATTTTTCACTTCTGTTTCCGAGGCACCAAAAGCAGTTGAAGAAGTTTTATTTTCACTTTTATTGTCGTTTTCTTCATCCATTAAAATTGTGTTAGCACTGTCGTGGTAGTAGTAACACAGATACAAGTGAAAGCGGACTAGCACGTGATACGCGTCAAATACAATGATTATATTATTATTATTATTATTATTATTATTATTATTATTATATTATTATTATTATTATTATTTTTGTGAATCGACAACAGAAATAAATGCACATTGTCGAAACAAATTTTAAAAAAATTATTGTAGTTGATGTATTGCGCGGACACATATGTAAAACGAAACGGTGCCTTCTTTTCTTCTTCCATTGGTTCTGTTTTGACAACCCTTTCCTTTTTCGTTTCCTTATTATTATTATTATTATGATTTATTTCTGTTTTCAGTCCAATCTCCTGCAAATAAGACTGCAGCAGTGGCAGTCGCGCCAGCCCCTCCCACGGCCGTCGCTCCAGCAGTCGGTCCATCAGAGAGAGATAAGCCTCTTTATTCGGTGTGGTCGTCCACCGCACCGGTAGGAGGTCCAGGACGCCATGCACGGTCTCATCCTCTACCCCAACCTCACTCCACACCGCGCTCACCGTCACCGTCTTGGCGCCACCTTGGATGCCAGTGATCTCCGCGAGATAATAACTTCTATGATTCGTATTATTATTAGTTTGATTTTGATTATTGTTTTTGTTGGAATGATTAGTGTGATGAGGGGCGAAGACGACGGAGCCAACGTGCAATCCGCCGGACTGTTGCCAGAGAGAAAGACACTTTCTAGGAAGGAGGATTTCATCTTTTTTGGTGGGAAGAAGAGACGACTCTTGCATCTATGAGAAACGGAGCTTTCACTCCAATTTTTTTATTATTATTATCTATTTTTAAAAATTAGTTTACTGTCTTGGAAAAAAAAAAAAATAGTGAGAAAGAGGGGAAGTGGAGACACCGCATTCAACCTTGTAAAGTCTTTTTTTTTTTTTTTTGATCTTTTTTTCATTTTATTATAGAGGAAGTAAAAAAATGAGAAAACAACAACAACAACAACAAGATATGGGGCTATCGGCTTAGGATAGGCAGTCATTATATATACACACTGAAACAACGAGTGGTGATCATAATGGCAAGCATTCGAATTTTTTTTTTTTTAATTTTCCTGACAACGTTTTTTTTTTTTTTTTTTTTAGAAAAATGAAGTGTGTCCATGTAGTTTAGTATGATGATTATTATGATGATTAACTCCAATCGGCGAGCACAATTTTAATATTTTCCTGTGTTTTCGTTATTTTTTGTTTCGTCTCTGTGATGAGGTTACCTGCCCCCAGGACCACCTCGTACACATCCTCGGTGACAAGCGATCGCAACAACTTGGATAAATATTCGGTCTCACTCTCCAACAAACCTTTTCGAAATAAAATGAGCT